AAGTGCGCATTACGAAATCTCATTGTAGGAAGCATACAATAATGCAGGTCAATTTGTCAACAGATACATTTATTTATAATCTATTCTGTCTTTTGCTTTTACTCCAATCTACACTAATACAAAATTTAAAGGAGAGGTAAATTATATCTTCCTTAACTCTCTGATGGATGCATGGGGTGTCGTTTACATTCTACAACAGCTTGTAAAAAATTATCGACTTATTTCAATAGAGAACCGATTAATATCGAAAACACATTAAAATTAAAGTTTCAAACCTGTTAATATTAAACAGAAAATAAAAAATACCAATTGTTTTAATATTTATAGCGCAAATAATGGGATGTAATTTGCACCCCATGTGTCCTTTTACGTTTTAAATTTTCACACGTATACTGGAGGGTTAAACGGAGTAAACGAACAAAATCAAACTTGATTAATTTGTTCGCCGACTATAACTTCAATTTGAAACCAACACGAGCCCGAGACACGGATGTACATACAACAAATCAATTGTACATTCATATTCCGTGGAATCTATAGAACTTTGTTGAATAAATTAGAAGGGAGAATTGTCACGATCTATCCCACGTATGTACATCCACGCGTTTCAGGCTCGAATCGAAGTTCCAATTATCTCGAATTATCCCTCGAACAATGCGCAATGAAGCTCACAGTCGTCGAGTCGACGGATTCTTTTCTCCGTTCAGAGATTTCATCACCCCGACGCCGCGGTCGTCTCATTGACAGCTCGATGTGTCAAGTGTCACTGTTTTCCTAAACGCGCACACACGCCAGTGCGGGACGGATGACGGATGTCGGCGGGATCCGGGGATGGGGTCCAAAGAGAGCGAGAGAGACAGAGACACGCAGTGGGGGAGGGCCCCACGGGGCGACCACGGCCGTGTCACACGCGCGGATAATGAGACAATGGGACAATCACCTGGGAAAATTCTCACTGCGCGGAAACGGGATCGCGACGCGCGCCGCGCGACACCGTCGTTCTCCACCTCACCGCCATATTGGGAGGACGATGTGTCAATAGCCGACTGACCGACCGCGGGCGAGCGGTCGGCGCCGGCGGGCCTCCCGTGAGTCGCCCACTCCCGCTACGGGGCCCCCCGCCTCGCCCGTTCCCCCGTACATGGAAATGGAAATCGGCACGTCGCTCGCGCGTCGGCCGCGATTGACACGGACGGATAAAGCGGCGCCGAGACGACGGGACGCTCGCGTTATCTCGCCGAGGTGTAGTACGTCGTAGCCGTCGTAGATGCAAAACAAATACGCGCGCGGGACTGGGAGGGGGGCGATCCCGTTCAAACCCGTTCCCCGAGACCCGAGAATCGACGATTAGCTCCGATTCTCGCGCGGCGGCGGACCGAAATCCGAAATCAGCTGGGCGGTCTCGCGAGAGTCGCGAGAGGGAGACGCATTCGTCCCACCCCGCCGCCCGCCGCGCCGCGCGAATCGCGCGACATCGCGCGATGACAGTGACGATGACGACGGCGACGTCGGCGACACGGCTGCGCTCTTTTTTTGGTCTGTTTTGACATTTGGCGAGTCAACATGGCGTCCGCAGCACAGATGAGAGTCCGCGAGTCCTCGCGGCCGTGGCTCTAGCGAGGATCGCTCCGCGTACGCGTCGTCCCTCTGACCCGACGTCGAGCTCTTCCCCGCGAGTTCCTGCTCCGCGACGCGGTCGCGCGGACGTCGCGCGACGTCGCGCTCGACCTCGAGGCGCGTGCCGTCGGGGCCAGTGCACGGTGCGGGAGAGCGTTTCTCTCCGCTTCCGCGTGCGGAATTGCATCATTACGTAATCGTCAATAATCGCCGTCTGAAATCCTGTTGTCCGAGCTGGCGAGATTACGCTCGCCCGCTCCCCCCCTCCCCCCCGCTGACCTTTGGCTCTCGATCGCTCGAGGAAGGAAGCGATCCACGGTGCCCGGTTGACTCCAACGTGAACGAGCTTCACGTGACGTTATTTTCATGTATGTGCACCCCCCTCCCCCCTCGTAAAAGAAAATTTTTATATCTTGTATTCCACAGCGTGCGATCTGGTGCGCGGATGTAATTTATAAACATTTGTTTGATATCAAAGTGCTCATGTGCGTTTTCTCCGATGTTGCACTTTCAAGGTATGGGACTGTGAATCCATACGCATGGACCGGTGCTCACTCGGAAGCCGATAGAATATAGGAAAAATAAGGGCTAGAGATTATCCGGCACGGATGACAGCAGAAGCGTAAGATGTTCGAGTCTCCGAGAAGTCTCCAGGAGGTTTGCATCGACTTCATCTGCGGTAACGTTCTCGCCCTGTGCACGGTTCACCCTAGCGACACAAACTCTCCTAATACTCTGAGTAGTAGTAGTGCCGTATCCGGTAAGTGGCGTAAAACTTGGTTGGTCGACGCAACTTGACTCTCGCAGACATAAAGCAGCATATAAGTTTTAGATCGACAAGATAACGGTACGGCGAACGGTAATAGCGCAGAAGTTGATACTGCAACAGGTAGAACATCGTCTAACGATGCTCCCAACTCGGCGACTTGGCTCACCTTTAGACATCCGGACGCCTTTTTGCCCGCCGAAGTGTCGGAGCAATTATTATCGAACCTATGTGAGAAGAAAACGTTATCCGATTTAACGATCACACTTTTCGACTCGAAGACCACTAGATTAAGGTGACGAGACTTTGGGTGCGTTATAGAGAGAAGAAAAATTTTATTAACGACAGTTAAAATCTTCTTCCAGGCACGTACGATTGAAGGATGCGTCGACATTGTCGGCTAAAGGCTTAAGCGTTCTTAAGCAACATAAAGTTATAGATTTAATAGTAAACGGTCTGAAGATCACTGTTAATGAATTAATTAGCTGTTTAGGCGATTGGAGTATACAAAATCTTAGGTCGCTAAGTGTAGCTAAAGGAAGCTTTATGGATTTTTCAAGGTTGTTACAACATTTCACGTATTTGTAATGTTCTCAAATCGAATTATGGAAGCTCTCTATGATAATCCATAATTTTATATCTTTATATATATTTTTTTGTTGCAGACAACGCATGGTAGATATCGCAACGTTAAACAAATTAAAGGCACTTCATACCTTGAATGTCTCAGGAACAGAATTTAATAAACACGGCTTGGACATAGTAGTCGAAGATCTTCCCCTTTTAGAGAGCTTAGATATATCTTGTACAAGAGTCGACGATATAACGCCGTTGAAAAAATGTAAAGGTCGTTTAAAGACATTAAATATGTATAATTTAAAGATAAGTGGATGCGGAAATTTAATACCGGTGTTGCTGGAGCTAAACGAATTAAGGCACTTAGATATTTCCGATGAAAAAGATCCGCATGGTTTTGAAGTTTTCGCACCTGCCAAGCCAAAAATAACAGATTTTTTAAGAACTCTGAATTGTATGCCTTACCTAACAACCCTAGACTTATCAGGTGAGCGGTGCAACGTGATATTTATATGCAATTTCACATTGCGTGTTGCACTTCATGAAATTATTAGTTAATTATATTGATATTTCATTAAGTGTAACATTTGTTTCCATAGGCAAAGATGATATAAATCCGAAGGATTTAAAAAAATTTATTGCGTCACATGTACACTTGAGGTTTCTGGGATTGGTGCATTCCGATGCTTGTTACGATGAAAGTTTTATAGATTCTACACATGAGGATTACAGACCTGAATTTATTGTAAGTTGACACAATACATACTGACTGCGCAAGCATATATTATGTCTCTGTATTATTTTAATATCTAAAAAAATTGGAATTTATATTTTTGTTATATATTTTATTTATAATATTATATCGTTATACATTGCATTACATTTTACATTCTAAATTTAACATTTTTAATCGTCACTTTACTTTCCTTGTTAGAAATTTTGTTATTTATTCTGTACTATAGAGATAAAAATTAAGAAAAGTGTAAAGAAATTTATGTGTAAAAAGCATAATAATAATAGCAAAATAATCACTAACATTTTATTGATAAGAAAAAGGAAAAATAAACGTTTATAGACGAAATTCATGTGAAATAAATATACATTTGTCTTTTGCTTCAGATCAGTGGTACAGCAACAGAGTCTCAAATTTTGGAAGCCCTTAGGAGATATACATACAGACCAATATATCTTCAAAAATGTCTATTTAACTTGTTCCGTTTGACACCAAACTTCCTCGAACCACGGGTCGATGTGATAAAATTAGTCTTACCTGGAATGAGAGAGCATCCACAGGAGTTTCGTGTACAAATGGCAGCTACTGCGTGTATCTATAATCTCACAAAGGGTGAATTGGCCCTCATGATTCATCCGTCGATACTTAAACAAATAGTCGAATTAACATTACTAGCGATGGAATCATATCCAACTAATCATCAACTTCAAAAGAACACGCTGTTGACCTTGTGTAGCGATAGAATCCTACAGGATGTTGCATTTGACAAATATAGGTAGTTATATCAATTTACGAATCTAATATTTAGAAGTGCGGTATGCTGAGATTTCAATATCTTTAGTTTTAAACTCTTATCAATATTTTGCATATTATTTGCCGTAATGTCATCAATATTAAAGAAGTGGTGTATTTGAGTAAATCACAATATATTAACATAAATAAATAAAAACGTTATATCTTTAGGTTTAATTTTTCTTATGCATATAAAATGAAACGTAATAATATTATCTATGAATAGAGGTATTGAAATTTTCAGCATATACGAATATATTCGTGATATATAGATAAATCTAAAAAAAAAAGTGTTTTTCATTTAACAGGTGCGCAAGATTAGTTATGAATTGCTTATCGACATTTGATGATGCATCCATGAATCGTATGTCTGTGGCCATTTGCTCAATATTAGCAGCAAAGATATCGACATTGGAAACCTCTATGCTTGGCGCACAACCACAATATATGTTGAAACTGCTTGCAATGGTTAGATCTAAGGTCGAGTCCAAATTAGTAGATATTACAATGAAATTTACATTAAGCGCACTATGGAATTTAACGGATGAGAGTGCGGCTACATGCAAGGTTTTTCTTGACGAAGGTGGAATGGAGTTATTTCTTGAAGTACTGGACAGCTTCCAAGGAGAATCTAGCGTGGAAACCAAAGTTCTTGGTTTGTTAAACAATATAGCAGAGGTTCGTACCGGAGTCTTTAATATAAATGTGTACTCATGTAGTATAAATGTGATGTATGTTTAAAACGTTATATTAAGATGTAATTTAATTTTTTGTATCGAAAATTTCAGGTCGATCATTTGAGACCACGGCTTATGCAACCTCGGTTTATAAAGATGCTTTCTATGCTGCTCGATTCCGAGCACATTGATGTGTCTTATTTCGCAGCTGGTATCGCTGCGCATTTACTTAGCGATGGTCCTGGATCTTGGTGTAGTATGCCATCACAACCGAGCAGGGAGCAGTTATTAGATCAACTGGTCCACGCTGTAACTCACTGGCAAACACCACAGGGAGAGATGGTTGCCTATCGTAGCTTCCAACCATTTTTTCCACTGTTACGTTGTACAGATGCGTATCCTGTTCAACTCTGGGCAGTATGGGCGATTCATCATGTTTGCACAAAGAACCGTAAGTTTAAAACAGAATGTTTTATGTGACAAATTATGTTAGACTGTAATAATCTATTCTGATAGTACAGTAAAGTGTAAAAATTTACGAATTTCTATACACACAACATAATAATCGTATGTTTATTTTCAGCAAAACGTTATTGTGTGATGTTGATCAGAGAAGGAGGAGTAGAAACTTTAAAGCAATTGGAAAAAACGCATACAGAATATACGACGCAACCGAATTTGCAAAGTTTATGTCAATCAATTCTGGAAACGCTTGAATTAAATTCTTAACGATAGCTGTTGCTTTTGCAAATTAAATACCCCATGGTATACTAGTCAATGTTTATCTTAGTGCAATCCTATATCCTGTTCTCTAGACCAAATGAATATAAAAATCATATGGCCATGAATAATTACATCACAAAGAGATAGACTGCAATCAACAAAACACGACACACAAACCATAAGTCCAAAATATCTTAATCGAGTTGATACTTTAATTAGGTTGATATTGGGTGGCTGAATTGAAGATCTGAATTGAGAAATAGATATATCTTTGTATATTATAGATTACATATTGTTATATGTAGAATTAATTTTGAAAATTATTCAATTATATAAGCAATAGTTGTATGGAATGAACTAATAAGTAAAGCAGATTTATAACTTCAAAAAAAAAAATAAACTACATAATGCATAATAGTATGTCGAGATATAACTTTAAAGATAATGTAATTTTTTATTTTGAAATAGAGGAGAAAAGGAAAATTTATCATTTTTTAATCGTTCATCTAATTATATCACCTACTGTCATTGATATTTGTTTTTTTATAACTTCAAAGTTACATTAATTATTGCAGAAAATAGTATAATTATTCAATATAATAATGTTTGTAATGTCCCAAAATATACCTATATTTTTTACGATTTATTTGATGATGAAGATTATCTTTATAGTTTATATCTAAGATTCTAGTCTAGTTAATTATTATCGTAAACGAGAACGAGTAATTAAAATAAACATCTATTTAAAATATCTGTAATTAACATCCTACTTTGGATGTAGATTGGATTTTAATTATTAGTAGTATGAGAAAAAAAAGATGATCATATTAAATTATTTTGTACAATTTATGCAATGCGTGCATAATAAAATTGTATTGATGTTTGATTGAATAACTAATTTTACACATTGACATTATTATAAACAAGATGTATAAAGAAACAATCATTCTTAAACGTTTATGCCTAATTAATCTATCTAATATTATATATAATTTATATATTTAATATAATCTGAAATTGTAGACTAGGATCTTGAATTATGTATTATATATTATACATTATTGTATTTTCCAGAAAATTATGCTAAACTTCTGTCTCTTTCTACGATTCAACAAAGTGATGGGATATAAGATAAGATGTTAAAATAATTATTTTGTTAAATGTCATACTTTAACGCTTAAATTCAGATCTTCAATTTATTTTGTTAGTAAATATTCTTCATGGAATTTATTCTTCATTAAATATTGATAAAAACATCTTGAAAATTGATCATGCATAATACATGCCTTCAGAGATTATACAAAAAATCAGAGAGTTTGTAATAAAAGAAAAATACATATTAATATTAGATTATATCTGTTATTAAAATATTGCGAATTTATATAAACGAAATTTATTCTTCTGATATCATTACATGTTGACACTTAAAGTGTAAGAAATATCAACTTAAATGGTACTGAATGTTAATAAACATGCTATGCAAGCCTTTATATATTGATGCTTTTTTTGACGGATTAGTTACTGCATTATTACACATCAATACTAGTATTGATTTTATAAGATTTTTAAATAAGTAGTAGATGTGTAAAAATGCATCTTTCTCTTTCTCTCTCTCTCTTCTCACAGAAATATCTAAAATTCTATATTAGCCAAGAAATTCTTTATTTACCACTCATTAATTTTACATTTTATATTACACATATGTCTTAATTATTTTCTTTTTCTTTTCCTTAATGAAACAAAAAATTGTTCATGCAATTTGTATCATTATCACTCAATTGATGCTGATGCTGCGCTGCACCTGCAAAATACTTAGCGACATGGAGGTAACATTACGAAATGTGTCTCAATTAAAAATGTGTTGAAAGTCGGCACTCCTCCTAACACCTTAGCACAATGGATCAATATTTCAGAAACATATTTTACACGCGTCTTACAAATTAGTAGCAATATGTTTAAGATAAAACTGAAGATGTATAGTTAGTACTTAGTACTGAATAAATGAAAGTTGCAATGAAAAATATGCAACGTGTAGTCAAACATTTCACATACAGGATAATTCTAATATTTAATAAATTTCTTGGCGCAACTTTCAGTTATCATGCATACAAAATTTACTACAAATTATAATTATATGATATTATTCTAGACATTCACTTTGTAGTTCAATCTTCTTACCGTTGTTTTATAACATCTTTTTGACGTGCAAAACTGACGGTGCATTTTTTTATCAAGTAGATAATATTACATATCAATTCATGTGTATTATAGTTAATAATTATTATTCAGTTAAACAATCATTATTCAGTTATGAATATGTTAATATTCACAACAGATGGATATTATTATCTATAGTTCAATCTTTACCTATAATATTCTGTTGTATCTGCCTTAACACAAGACATACACATCCCTACATATAATTATCCCTACAATTATAATATCTATCATTTTATGTAAAAAATCAGACCACATTAAAATACAAACTTGCTTTCATACAAATTTACTATTTGTTATTAACTTTTTTATGTCAAAGTCAGTACGGTGCGTTTTCAGATTCTGCTTTCGGGTGTACACACAAAAATTTTATGATATATATTTTTAAACGATATTGTATTATTTACCTGAACTACTTACTATGAATATAATTGTTCTTAATAAACATGTAATATTATTTTCATACAAAATTAATGATGTAATACATTATTGAAGTTTAAACATCTTGCACATGTATAGATATATAGATAAGTTAGACTGTTGGTGATCAAATATTTCAATTTGCATAAACTGAATTGAGCCTGAAGTCAAATATTCCAATGACACCTAATTACATAACGTTTGTAATTGTAAGATTATATGATTATATTTAATTATGACACTTGTATAAGTTTATTTACATTAAATATATATATCGAATATAAATATTTAATAATTTATTTATATTAAATATATATATTAAACATAAATATTAAATGTATTAAATGTATATTTTATTGAACATACATTGAAACGTATTTTGTATCAGATACATAAGACAGTTGAAATATATATATGAATAAAGTAAAGCAAAACATTTTGGAAAAGTTTTAAGGCGGATACAAAATCAATTTTATAAAATTTATTGCTGCTAAAACTTTAATAAAAATTTATTGAACTACAATAGTGAATGATCGCTGTTCTACATTTGTAGTTTTATGTGATAATTATTAAATCAAATATAATTAATTGTGCCCAACTGTCCAATCTTTTTTTCTTTTGACATGATGTTTTTCTCTTTTTTTTCCCTTCGTATCAGTTTTTTTTTCTGTGGACATATCATAAGAATTTACTTAAATATCTTAACCGCTTTTCAATGCAATGCATGATGATATACACGTTTGTAAGTTTCTTGTGCGAATTGTTAATCAATTTTTCACAAAAACTTACAATTTTCAACGTTTTATCTCACAAGGCCATACTCTATACTTTCAATCTACGAAATATTAGATATATTAACAATATGCACGTTTAATTGAAATTAATAAAAATGTAATAAAACGTGATAATTTCTTTAACTAAACTAATGAAGAAAATTGCAATATATAGAAAAGTGAAGCGAACAAGATGTTATTTTTCAATTTGATATATATTGCAATATTTTTTAATAGTATAGATATTTATTATGGCCAAGTGTGTCAATACTAATGTATCTAAATATCATATTCCATTATATTCAGTGAATAAAGCGATTACAACTGTTAATTTCTTTATAATTTTAATTTTGTTGCATTACTAACAATGAGTTCGATCATATAGATACATCAGATTATATTAAAAGTGATTAAAAGTTAAATTTATAGAAAGTTAAGTAATGTGTTATTACTAATCATAATTTTACTATCTCAATCATATGAAGGAATGGCCAGCAAATTATTTAAAAAAATTGGTCCAAAGATCCTAATAGACACAGAGTTATCGCGACGTTACATAACTGAATAAAAGAGAAATGTGAGCAAGAGTCACTCAAAAACATCTAATTAGAAAGTTCTGATTTAACGCATATATAAATGTATAAACATTGTATTAATTTATTACTATTTTTATTCAGATAATTTATTATCCAATTCTCAAATGCTTCTGGTCCTTCCTCCAGTTATAATAAAATGTATGAAGTTCAGAAACCTTCAGAAAGCTTAGAAACGTTCAAAGAAATGTTCCTTTGTTGCTGTAAATATTTTATTTCTTCGTATCTCTCAAAAATCATGAAATTGTTAATTATTGATTAATAAATATAAGCATATGTGTAATAAAAAAAATTAATTTCTTTACGCTGAGAACTTTTCTTTGAGCGGTATAAATAGGAATTATCACATACATGACGTAAAATAACAACTTACCTTGATACTTGTAAAATAATGTTGCCCTTAAAATGGTCAATATGGCATATAGTAACCACGTCTGTAACTCCTGCAAGAGAAAACCATGAAGTAGTAGAATTTATAGAAAGCACGACAGAATTCTCTCTTCAAAAGAACACAGATATTGTGGAAATTGTTAATGAATTCGTTAGAAGGTAGTAAAACCAAACATAAATTACCTAGGTCGCCTCGTAGGTCGGTATCCAAAGTATGTATTACCACGAATAATTCCTTTAGCCATGCCTCGATAGCCTCTTGCACCTCTGGGACCCCTGTAAATACAAGAACCAATGAAATGCAATGTCGATGCTATAGAAGATCCAAATAAATTTGAGTTATGTATATCAATAGATTATTTTTTATTAAGTTTTTATAAAAGTCTTTATATTATTTTATAAGTTACAATTATAGGATATGTTATCCGAAACAGAATTACCTATTTGTCATGGAGAAACCAGGCTTATTTGTTCTTTTAGGCATTACTTTAATTTGACGTCCTCTGAACATAGACTCATCCATGGCCATTGCGGTCTGTACAGAATCGCGTTCGGCAAATTCGATATAAGCAAAGCCCTTGGGGTGACCATCAAATTTATTACACAAGATTGTCACTCTGTTGACACTGCCGCAACCGTGAAAATGTTGCTCCAACTCTTCAGCTGTAGCGCCATAGTCAACCTGCGTATAATACAAAAGAAATCAAGTTTTTAAGTCTTTGCAACGCTATCATACATTATAGTAGTACATTTTTAAAGAAAGATGCTTGCTGCAGATTTCAATGATCGTGAATGAATTGTGCCAAACTTACATTGCCGACGTAAATCGACCGGTTATCAACTTCCATCTTATCTTCCAATGACATATTTAATGGGCTTGCTGAAATATAAGACGTGTAATAAGAATAAAATTGTCATTGCATATAGCTAAAGTAATCGGTTTTATTTTTAAATGTACTTTCTCATATAAAAGACACAAATTTTGCAAACTTACTAATACCAGGTGGACTGCCCATGTTCATCTGCTTATCTACCTCGGATTGGAGTTGTTTCAATTTCTCAGCTTCCTCCTCCATTTCCCTTACTCGTGCTTTAATCGCCTCCAATTCCTAAATCACAATATTTCATAAATTAAATGTCACATCGGTAAAAAGGATTTTTTATTGTTGTTGCCATATATTACTGCAATAATAGCAATTAGTTACAGGATCGTCAACGTTTGCTTCGCCCAAGTCACGCTTCACGCCGTCGCACTGCATAATAGTGTCTCCATCTTGACCGTTTTCAAGACCATCCAGACCATCGATGTGGTCGCCAGCTAAAAGATCGGATTCAGACATCTCTGAAAATACAATAGCACAATCGTAAGTTATCAGAGAAACTGAAAATTAACACCGTAATTAATATTTAGGTTTACAAGCGAGGAGGCAGCACGACAGAAATGTATTCTCGCTATGTCAAAAATTTTTATAAAAATAAATTTCCATCACATTTATTCACCTATCGTATGCATAACGAGATTTTCTTTATTTTGAAGTAAAGCAAGAAATAATAAATATAAAAAGTTATTATTTTATTCCAAGCAACGTCCGATATGCATTGATCTACGTTCGCAACTCGTTTCCTCTATTACACAGGCACGTAATTAATTATACATCGGCATTATTAAGCAATTATAAGACTCGAGAGCCTAACAACTAGACAAGTCGTGCGAGATTTGCGATACAACACAGCAACGTGTACGACTCGGCCGAGTTGGACGATCGCGAGAAACGAAGACGACAAAATGTTGGAATATACATATTTAACTCGCTCGTTCGCGACGATTCGAGAGAACCGCGACGAGAGGCGGCTCGTGCCCTTGGCGCCGTGGACCCGGGACGAGAGTCGCAGGTCGGAGATATAAACGACGCGCGACACAACGCGGAGCGATTATGTGAAACGAGCCGGGGATCAATTTGATCGGCAACCCCCGAGAACGACGCATGCACTGATATAGCATGTCCTATTCTCGAAAGAGAATATCCTACGTGAAAAAGAGCCGACGGACGCTACCGTATTCACCCGGGGGACGGGGATAAACGTACAGGAGAGTATGCGGGCGAACGTTCGAGATATCCCACGTATTGCTTCGAGGCGACTCAAAACCGCCTGTCGATTTCCTTCTCACGAAAAATCAGTATGAGAAAATTGACGCGACCACCGTGCGAGGAGAGCGAATCCAAACCTCCTTCTCGGATAGAGGATAGAGGGAGAGAGGGAGCAATTTTCAGCGCCACCGTCCGTGCTGGACCCGGAAACGGCGAACTAAAAAATGAGTCACGTGACGAGAGCGAGGCCGCTGGCGCTATATTGAAATTGGAAATGTAAAGCCCGGTGTCCACGATGCAAGAACTGTGTCCAAGTTTCGATTTAAGCCAATCAACTTGCAGCTCTTATAGAAAAGTAGCAGTTTCATTGGCTTAAACCGAAACTTGGACACAGTTCTTGCATCGTGGACACCGGG